AAAGCCTCGTTCAACACGAGCGCCGCATCCCGCCGAGACGAGAGGCTGCCGCCAGCGCCGCCGCCGCCGAGAAACCGGACGAGGCACCGAAGTCCGGCCGCGGACCCCACTTTCGAGCAACCCTCTGCGTCCTGGGGAAAAGCCCACGTGAGCACGGATAGGATTTCCCGAAGCAAAACCGAGTGTTTCTCGACCGAGACGCGCGCGAAGGCTTCGAACGCGCCCGCCGAAGCCGCTCCGATCCCGTTGCTCGAAATGCATCGTCGGTTCCGTTCGCTCTCGCATGCCGAGTCCTTGATCTTTGCGACGAGCTCTCGACACTTTTGCTCGTTCTCAGTTTCGGTTGCGTCGCGCATCTCAGCACAAATGTCAGAGACTTCTTGTGGAGAGATGGGGACGCGTGGGGTCGGGACGCGCTCGACCCCGAGCGACCGGTTATCGACGCACCACTCTTGGATCATTTTGCGGAGAGCGTGGTTCGGGATTTGGTCGAGGGTGCGTAAGGGTTGGTTGGTGACAGGGCACCTGGCGTGACCCGAGTCGAGCCACCTCTCGATGCTATCTCGATCGTAGGTTATCCCGGTGGATAACGAGACGGGGTCCTTCATGAGGTCGAGGGATATCGGGCACCGGAAATCGGTCGGGATCGTGAGCTCAGTATCGAGAGCGGCACGTTTCGGGTCCGGATTTTTTCCGGTCGAGTTACGGTTTCGCCTCCTTTGCCATAAGAAACAAGTCATTGTGGTGAATTGTGTGAAGGAGCAAAATGTAGGAATGAAACAAAAAAAATAGTAGATTGTGTGTGTTGGGAAGATTAGGATTTGGTAGAAATTTTTGGCATATATGTATTAGTAATGTGTGAAAGAAGGCCGCACGGGGTCAAAGGAGACGTGAATTGAGAAATTCATAATTTGGAAAGTTTCAAAAATCGTGGGATTGGTGTTGTAATAGAAAATTAGGGAAGATTTTCACGTTTTAATTAATATTTGAGTTGAATGTTTGACTGTTGAATATTGTTTGATAAATGGAATGGAAGTCCCATTTGCATACCTAATATATATATGTGAGGGAAGAAAAATAAAATAAATACATAAATAAATAATGTGTTTTAGGGGTTCATGAGGTTTGACTGGTTGACCGGGTCGGGGTTTCATCGAGGCTAGTCCGTGACCAGATTGTTCAAATATTCCATTCATGTAGATGTGTACAGACTTTTAGTATATGCTAAGTAATAGTTTACTTTTTTTTTAAAAAATGTTGAGATCAATGATGTTTTGTATTGAATGGAGTAGTGTTAAAATTCTTGAGGAAGAGCTTTGCCGCCCTTGTGGTCCTATCCAGCTCGATTCCGGATTAGTCGGTTCCCTGTGGATCCGGAAACCGGAAGATCCCTGTACCCAAAAAAAAAAAAAAAGTAATCTTACTCGAGAGGTGCATGGGATTTTATTAAGTTGCATTGTTGTGATTGAATAGTTTACTATATGTATCCTTTTATTGTTTTTAATTATTAAGTTTATGCAACAAAGCATAGCGTTACTAGTCGTTATTAAAACTATAAAACTTAAAATAAAATTATAACAAATTTTATAAATAAATTTTGAGCAATATCCTAAGAATCACAAATCAAAAAATGATGGAATTAATCCGTTATATTTTTTAAAAATAGAAAATAAATAGTCGAAACTCTAAACTTTTTTTTTACTTAAATATATAAATTAAATTCATTGGAGTGTGTAATGCTCAATTACAGCTATATAGTTTTTTTTGTCGGAAAAGCATTATAATACTATTTTTATGTTTAAATAACAAAAATAGATGGAACCAGCTCGTTTGGAAATGAGTTGACTTCACTTATTAACTATGTCAATGGTTATCACTAACATTATTAAATCGTAAATCATAAAATAAAATTTATCATATTTAAAAAAGAGAGAAAATTTGAAAAAACAATTAAATGAATAAAAGAGAATATGTAAAAATCTTAATTTTATTACGAATAATTGTTAATTGCTTTTGACATGAAATTTGTATAAAGTAGAGATAAATATTGACAAACTTTGTTTAATGAATTAAAAACTTTCATATTTGGGACCAAATTTATATTTAATATTTTATTGCATAATTAATATATAAATATATATTAATAAATAATAATGGGCCATGGAAAAAGTTGGAGTCCTGCGCGATTGCCCGGCCCAATAGCCCACCCTACTCAGAGCCGGCAGTTGGGATGGGCTGAGACTTCTATGCCTCCCTTTACTACTCATGTCAAATGGGAGAATTATAAGAAATTCAAACATTGCGGATATTATATAATTAAACAAAAGTACTAATTAATTGTGATAAATGTACATCGAGCTATCGATTATGTTGCTCAATAATTTTTCTAGCTTATACTTAAATTTATAGATAACTTTTTCAGTTGATATATAATTTTATTAATTTTCATTTATTATTGATAGATTTATAACCTGTAATGGATTTGATAAATTCATAATCATTTAATTATTTATTTTATAATGCAATATGAATATTAAATTAAAATTCGTCTGACAAAAGATAGTTAGTTTAATATATTATATATGAACAACTGGTAAGGAATGCAAGTCATTATCTTTTAAATATATTTATAATTTAATTAGTAACGAATGCAAGTCACTATCTTTTAAATATATTTATAATTTAATTAGTCAAGTGTTTATAATTTCAAAAGTTCTAACTTGCATGGACTACTCTGAACCACCAGAAATTAACACATAAGATTACAAAGCACCAATAGTCAAACACGTAGCATGCGACATTAATTCAACATTAAAATATAGAAGATTACATACATATAAAATATATATTTACCTTTATAATAAAATTGAATTATCTATCAATATTGATTGAAAAATAATAAAATTGATTGTCAATCTCTCAAATCCATTACATATTGAATTTGGAATATTATTATATCGAAGGAGTAAGTAGTCTAAGTAACGAGTGTCATTTAATATAAATAGTAATGTAAGTTAGTAAGAATTATCAAACTTTTTTTTAACAAAAAGTTAAGTACTAGTACAACACTCGTGACTATACGAGTCATAGTTAAAATAATTATATTGAAATTCATAAAGCAATAAAAGCAAAGTTTTTTTATTGTAAATTTTAAGTAATTTTTAAATTATTTTACCTTGAAATAAATTCTTACAAGCTTATATTATTATTTATATTTAAAATGAAAATCATTACATGGTAATTTTTTTCAGTCATATTACATAATAAAATTAATAGAAAAACTTATTCAGTTGATAAATAATTTTATTATTTTGCCATTAATAATGATATAAAATTTATTTTATTAAAAATATAAATATATATATTATTTTATATATGCAACTAGTACAATACCCGTGTATTACACGGGTGCTTGTTAAAAAATTATTCTTAAATTTTAAAATTAATGAGAAAATTATATTAAATTTAGTTTACTTTTTTACAAAAAAAAAAATATATTACTATATATTTTAGAATGATATGTGTTACTTATGACTTACATGTGTTATATTATATTAGTTTTTATAACTTATATCATATAACTACTTGAAATATAAATATATTAGTTGATAAATAATTTTATTTTTCTAATTAATATTAAAAATAATTTTATTATTGTTATAAAGTTAAATATAAATTTTTTTTTTTATACATACAATATAGATGTTAAATCGAAGCTTGTCAAAAGAAGATTAATTTGATATATTACATATGTAAAACTGATAAAAAATACAAAAGTTATTAACTTTTAAAATATATATACAATTCAATAGTTATAATAAGGAATGATATTAAAATACAATTAATACATGTAACATGACCATAAAGAATCAACATATTTATGGTAATCCGAACCTAATTATTTTTTGTTTGGAATTAAATTAAAATCTACCCAAACCTAATAACGAAGCATGTAATTTTGCCACATAGGATTTCGAAGCACCAGAAGCAGCCACATAGGCTCAGCGCATTCTGTATTAATATATATAGGGGGGATATGATTTAAGTTGGCCTAACTGTTTTATAATTTTTAAAATTAAGCATGGATAGAAATTTTGATCTACGTAACTATTCCAAACAAAAGACATACACCTAAGAACAAATACGGTTATAAAACACCAAAAATTGACATGTAGGATCGAGACAGTGTGCATTAATATATAGACGGGATATTTATCTTCCATATGAATAAAACTTCCAATTTTATTAAGATTTATATTAATATTGGGAAACCCTGCATCGCACGAGATATACGCTCGTATATTAGTGTTGGACCGATTATAAATAATATATTAATACATAATTTTAGAATTGGTCTTATAATTTGACCACTTTCCAAAAAACTATTTCGATATTGACCACTTTAAACTTGCTCCTATAATTTGACATTTTAATCAAATTTTGTTATTTTTATCCGGAATATGGATTAAAATGTGATTAAAAAATGACCAAAATTGATTAAAAAATGACCAAATTTGATTAAAATGTCAAATTATAGGACGAAGTTTAAAAATGGTCAATATCGGAGTGATTTTTTAGAAAGTGGTCAAATTATAAGACCAATTTTAAAATTATGCATGTGCAGTTGAATGAATTGCTACATCCACATGAATGGGAAACTGGCCATTTAAATGATCACAAATACACTCGGAGATGCCCTTAGAGCATCTCCAATAGATGATTGTCCATTTTGGGTTGTATGGCATGGAGAATGGAAGCTAAAAAATTATGTCTCCAATGATAAATGTTAATTGTGATTTCATTTGTGATGTGTTGAATTTTAATTGGATGAAGAAGATAAATAAATTAAATAAATATTCTAATATACAAAAGAAGTTGTCTAGGAAGGCTTCTACATCTAGAAAGCCTTCTAGAATTTTTTCAAGCCACATAAGATTAATTGTGACACGTGGCAACAAAATAGAGAAAGGGAAAGACCATTGGAGATGCTCTTAGACATCCGAGGATGAATCTGCGTCTTGGATTTGCAGAAGTCCTTCAATTAATGTACTTGACTGCTAATATCTAAGGTGGTGATTGTTTATAGTTTCAATAGTAAAAAAACTAATTTTTATTTGGTTTATTTTTAACTATAGTTAATTTTGAAAAAAAAGTGGTGTGGTTAGTTGTTAGTGGGTATATTAAAATAATATTTAAATAAAATAATTAAAGTTGATTGGATGTAAAGTATGAGAAAAATGATTGAAAGTGATAGTTAGTTAGAATTATGTGAGTATATAAATAGTGAATTAAAGTTGATGTGATGTGTAAGAATGATTGGTTGATATTATTTAATGATATTATTAATATTGAAGATAGTGGGGTAGAGTTAAAGTTGAGTTAAATTTGAGTTTTGATTGAATTTTTTACTATTGAATTTATATACAATCACACCCTAAAAGTGTTGATTTAATTACAAGAGTTTTAACATGGTGTTGATTTATTAATACACTTTATGGTTTTTCAGTAAACATGGTGTTGATTTATTAATACACTTTATGGCATCTTTAAACATGGTGGTGAAAGACATACTTAGTTTTTTTCTTTTTTCTTTTCCCCCTCCTGGCTTCTTGTGCAGGCCCGTCCAAGGGATGCCAGCATCGGAGGCCCGGAGCCCCCTTCTCCTCCTCTGCCGCGCAGACGCCGGGTTCATCAATTTTAATCTTGTGCTGCGGGACTATTTTTTGCCAGTGAGAAAGATGGATGGATGCCGCCGGTTCAGCCAATCGCTCCAGCTGGGGAGCTGCCGACGTAGGAGTTGGAGTTGTCACCCATTTCTTCGATCGGCCGTGTTGGAGCCAGCTGCGACAGAGTTGGGCTCCATCTTTCTCCCGGTGGTCGATGGTCGGGTGTTGTAGTTGAGCATGGTGTCAGTGAACCTCTCGTCCGGTTTTCGCCAGTTGTTTGATTGCTAAGTTTGAAGAATGAATCCGGCTTGTTGAATTTTGATCTGAGTAGTCTTGGGCTCTTAGCCATATCATTAATTTGGAGTGTGGAGTTTGAAGTGCCCATATTTAAGTTTGTTGCCTTGGTGTTCTTTTTTCTCCCCGTTTGATTGTCCTGAAGGTCGATGTTTCTTGGTGTTGTGAGCCGAGTTTGTGGGTCGCTGGGGTGAGCTTTAGTTTTATTCTAGTTACTTAGGTGTTTTGCTAGTTTGTTGTTTCCTTTTTTTTTTTTT